GGCTAATAAACAAATGAATGCCAAAACTAACATGTACTAAATATGAAATTCAGTTTTTTAATCCTTAGATCTTCAATTGCTTTTGTCAATTTCACACATTATTAACTTGCCTAGGAATCATAAAAAATATTTAAGTATAGAACTACTTAGCCTATAACAAGTACATTTTTGCTTGTTCTTTATTATGAGTTTTTACTTATTCTCTTTTACATTAAGAACTGAAACTACTGGTACAGAATCCTTTTCTTCATTCTGATTATAGCTTTATTTTTAACATGGGTATTTGACAAAATTCTACCCAGTTTAGGAACAACTGTAGGAACCATTATGATATAAACAAAATGTGGTTTAAGATATGTGTCTTAAGATCAGTCACATTACCTCATATTTGGACTTCACTTTTTTTGGTGATGAGTTGCCAGAGGCAGTTCTCCTTGAAATACTGAAGTATTGGTATGTCAGTCGTAGGGAGTTGAAATCTGAATTAACGAAGGTGAAGCTCAAAATGGCATGTGACTGGTAGAATGTCACAAAACTCATAAGTAGCCACAAAAATAACATACAAATAATGTTTCTGTAATCTCTTTTGTTTTTATGATAGATTTATATCTATATTCTCAGATTTTACTAGGAATAACCATGCATGTTAAGAAAGGATGAGTTTTGTTCTGTTTTACAGTTCAAGAATCATTGAGAGCAAGAAATACATCCACATAGGCACACAACACATGTGTGATTTCAGGTCCATATTTTGTCACTCAGTAAAGTTTCTTACAGGTTGAAAAGGAAATTCCCTATGTCTACATATGTAGGGCTTTTAATATATATATGTCTCAAAAAAGGAATTGTTTTGGGACAGTCCCAATCAGATGGAAAAGTGTGATGTTTGTTATAATAGAGGAATCTTTGAGAGAAATACTTCAGAACTATGGTTATGGTGGTTTTTATTCTTGAACCAGCCAAAATATTTATTCTTCAAAACATTGTATTTAATGGCAACCGGTCCAAGTGTCCAGTTTTCATGTACTTGTCAAAGATGTTCATGTTTTAAGATAACCTCATGTTAAAAGATAGAATGAGTTGCATGAATTATAACTCAGAGTTCATTTTGACCAGTATTAAGAAATGACCTTCTTCTGCCACAGTGATGGCATTGAATACTGATAACACTTAAGGCATGGAAAAATTTTAGTTGTTTGACCTGTATTCTAATTATACCTTGAAATTTGTACTAAAAATTATAAAGAGAACTTTTATTATTTTAAGTGGTCTTTATACTATTTCGAGAATAATATATTATTTTCAAGGTGAGAGAGAAGGTATTTTCAACATGAGAAACAAAAGTCTGATTCAGTGTCAGTTTTTAAACTATTATGATACGTGCATTAGTAGAACACTTAAGCTGTCTGTTAAATTTCTGTATTTATATGTCTTTGTATAACTTTTTTTAAAAATGCAGCTTGTGAGTTTGTTTTTTTTTTTTTCCAGCTTGTGAGTTTCTTAAAATATTATGTTCTGGTGTACACCTGAAACTAATGTAACATTGTGTGTCAACTATAGATATTTTTTTTAATTGTGTTTAACAAATAGAATGCTTTTTTGGACCATAGGCCTTAATGGTTGAAATTTGAATATGATTATCTCAAAATATATTGGTTATGATATCTTGACACATAATAATGCAAGCACTTATCATTAAAACTCTTTGTTTTTTTTTGTTATTTAGTTTGTAATGTTGAATTATAGTCAGCTTCAAAACCGCATGTGTCACTTTGAAAATAATCATTGGTCTCTGTCAGGGACTTAAAAAAATCTAAGCAGAGACCCCCTACAAGGCAGGTAGTGGATTGAATGAAAGTGAAACAAAAGCATGGGAAGGTTGTTTGTTTGGTTTTTGTTTTTTTTAATAGTTACTTATTTTAAGTAATCTCTACACCCATTGTGGGACTCAAACTCATGACTCTGAGATTAAGAGTTGCACAAAAGCATGGGGAAGTTTTTAATAAATACTGTCTTTCTTTGGCTTAGTATTCAGGTAAAAAAGTGCTTGAAGAAACTTTTGAGATTAGTTATTACCAGCTAATATATTTTTGCCTCATCTAGTAAGAATTCATTCAAGAAAAATTTAAGTACTCTGTACTAAACATTGAAGGAAAAGAGTAAAAAAAAAACTAAGAGGATAAAAACATTTGTTAATATAGGGGAAAACATGTTTTATTAATCGTGCATTTATTGTACACGTGCTGAGTGCTGGAGATATACGTATAATTGATATTATGGCTCCTGCTCTCATGAAAGTCTTAGTCCATTTGGCAAGACAGACAAACTAAAAATTGAAATTACACTATGTTATAAAATAAGTGCTATAATAAAAGTGAGCATTGTGCATTGTGGAAACATACACATGGAAACACTATAAGGAAATATAGGAATACTTCCTAAACAGGATGCATGACTCTTGATGCTTTAGTAGAAGTTAGTAGGACAAAGAAGGTATATTTCTCATAGATGGAGTGATACTGCAGATTTACAGAGTGAGAGATTGCATGGAGGTCAAGGAACCACAAGTAATTAAATGAGGCTAGGATGGAGTCAGACAAAGGGATTAGCAAAACCTGAGGCTACATAGGAAGCAAAAGACACTCTTCCAAAAATTTGAGATTTTTACCTGAAATTGTTATTAAAGGATTTATAGCAAGGAAATGACATGATTAGACAAAATTTTAGAAAGATCACTCTAGATGCTACTGGAAAGCTACAGAATTTTCAGTTATATTTGGAAGCTCTTTGCAAGATAATGATACATGTAAATAAGTAAAAAAGTTCAAAAACTATTTGTGTTTGTACAACTTGGGTCTTAGTTTGGTCAAACCACCAATTAGGTTCTTTGTATAATGGTGTTGCAGACAGTAGTGGAATATCATATACTTCGTATAACTCTGAACTGATCAAAGACAAGGATTTGAAAAAAATATATATAAGGATTTGAAAACTTATTGTTGGAAATGCTGTCAGACCGCCTCCCCTTTGCCTCATTGACTATATAGTGTTGATCCTATTTTTACTAAATCAGATGATGCTACTAAGTTATGGCATTTAGTGTAGCCATGGTATATTCTGGGTTGCCTGACCCTACCTCTAGTGCTGGGTTTATGACTAAAAGAACATATAATGGAAAAGGAAGAGAGAATGAATCTCAAAAGGTGTGTAAGCTTATGAAAGGTTGAGGTATAAAAAGAGTTTAGAAGTATGAAAGTATCCTTTCCCAAATTGCCTCCTACACTGTAACCTAATCTTCCTCTTGCTCACATTAAAAAATGACTTGTAAATTACAGTAAAGTCTGTATAGTCTACCCTAAACATTTTTTTTACTGTTTCTATGTTGCTTTCATTGCCCAAGAATTATAGAATAACAGATTCCGCATTGTAAATAGTTCTTTTTGCCTTATGACAGGGGCCAGATTACCAGTTTGAGCTGTATTATTTTTATTTCATTGAAAATATCAAAATAGATATAGTTACTTCAGTAACTATATTATACATATATATATTACTTCAGTAAATATAAATTAATTCATATTTGAAACCACAGAATAGAACTTTATGATTTAATTCAAAAAAACAAATATGCCTAATTCTGAATTTTTAGCCAAATAGTACATGGTATTTAGACATAGTTTATGGTACCCAAGTTATTGACATAAACCCAGCAGGCTGAACTTTTAATAGCTACCAAGATTTTAATCCCAGACTCTTAATCCAAATGAATAGTAAGCAAGCTTTGAAAAACCTTGATTTCCAGGATGCCTGGGTGGCTCAGTCATTAAGCATCTGCCTTCAGCTCGGTTTATGATCCCAGGGTTCTGGGATCGAGCCCCGTATGGGGCTCCCTGCTCAGCAGGGAAGCCTGCTTCTCCGTCTCCCACTCCCCCTGCTTGTGTTCCTTCTCTTGCTGTCTCTCTCTCTCTCTGTCAAATAAATAAAACCTTTAAAAAAAAAAATCTTGATTTCCATTCATATAAATTCGAGCTCTCATAAGAATAGATTTCGAATCCTTTAGATGCAAGCAACTGCCTTCACTTAAGTACCTTGCCACTTGACTCCCAAAACAAATGTCTTCCTGCAGCAAAAGAAAGTGACCTATATGACCATATGTCTGTCATTCATTACATATTCTATTTGATGATCCTAGACATCTAATTGATAAAGTAATACTGGGTTTATAGTTAAGTCAAATTGTATGGTATTATTGACTTAAAATTATTCATCTTGAGATAATATAGAAAAACTATACTTCTGCCATCTATTTTATTTTAAATCCTAAATTATTTAATTCTAAATGGAAATAGAGATGGAGAATTAACTTATTCATAGTTTTGATCTTGCCATAAAGGAAAATTGGATTGTTACAGTATTGAAGAACTTGATGATGTAAGAACACACTTAGCTAGAGTTCACATAACAAAAGTTGGTTTCCTCAGGCTCAGCTAATCTGTACTGTCCCTTTTAAAAATGGTTGACCAAATGGAAAACGTAAAGGCTGCTCTTTCGTGATAAGGAATTGACAATGGACACAGTAAATACCTCTTTAAAGTTAATTTCTTGTTGCACTCTATCTCAGTTTTTACCTACTCAGGCTAATTTGCAGGTGCCTGGGATGAGTAGACAATCCATAATTTCTACCAATCAAGTAAAAGAAGGAAAGAAAACTCTGAGCTTCTCTCCCAGTTAACAGGTAGTTTGCTGTGGTTAAAATAATTGCAGATTTTACAGCAACAAATTAGCATTTTCATTTATTATAAGTAATTGATTTGAAATTTGGGAAATGAATAGTTGAGTGCATCATTTGAGTGTTTATTTGACTAATTACTTATTAGTTCAAGAGACCATCATGTAAATTTTTCTCTGTATATTATGGCAAGTCAGTTTATTTCTCTCTTCATTTTAACATGTTTAATGTGTGATTACTTTTACTTGAAAATGTGTTTTATTCTTTGCAGTGTTTGAGCAATACACCTCCACTTACTGAATACTTCCTCAATGATAAGTATCAAGAAGAACTGAATTTTGACAATCCCTTGGGAATGAGAGGCGAAATAGCTAAATCTTACGCTGAATTGATCAAACAAATGTGGTCTGGAAAATTTAGCTATGTCACTCCAAGAGCCTTTAAGGTTAGTATAGTAAATACATTTTCTATAACGGCTATATCATCCCCAAGAGGACAAAAACAGGTTCTTTGGGGAAGGAGTGAAAAAAATCATAGCTGTTAAATTGATTTGTGGCCCTCCATAGGGACCCAGCACAAACAGATACACAATATATCTGTGCTGTTAAATTTCCTGGGTGGGGGATGGGACAGATGATTACTTTAAAATGTCCAAAAAGGTTCTAGGGGATGGGTAGGGAAATAATGAAATGCTGGAAAACACTTATGGTACGAAGTGACAAAAAACAGCAGAGCATATGTAGGTTGCTTTAGAATACAGTTCATATCTAAAAAACCTACATAAATTTTTATTACAAATGTAAAGGCTAAATTTCAGCATGTCATTGAAGTCTAAAAACTCAGTTTATTTTGAGAGTCATTGTAAGTTTGAAATATTATTGAAATGAAACTAGTCTGCAAAACCAGCACTACATATTAATTAAATATTTTCAATATAATCCTTAAACTTTTAAGTTTATTCTTATTTATGAAATGGTTACCTCTTAGAACCAATAAAACCTCAAGTTTTATTTGCCATTCAAATAAGAATTGAGCTGAAATTTAGTTTTATATAGTTAAAAAAATTTTCCAATTTTTAAGATTTTTGTTTATTTTGTTTATTTTTTGTTTGTTTAAGATTTTATTTATTTGACACAGAAAGCAGGGAAATAATTTTTCTATTTATTACAGGTGAGTTCTGTTTTAAAGAGAATAAGCAGTTTTCAGATGTTTTTTAACACAAACAAACTTAAATGATACTCACATAGGATATCTACCAGGCAACATTTTATTAACTATATACTAGTTCTTAAAAAATACAACAAATGAAAACACTACTGCATTTATGTATCTTCTTTAACTTTCTAAGCTTTGGACAACCTAGTTTAGACAAACTGTTTCTTAACCCTTACCCGTGATTCCAATTAGTTTTATTTTACTAGATACTATCTTAAAATTATGTGTAAACAGGGTCCTGATATCTGACTTTTTCTTTCACATTTCTTCAGTTTTATCAAAAAAATACTAGTATTGCAAAGACTAGGAAAATTATATATGAACACAAACATTCCTCTTATCCCTGAGATTTATCCTCTTTTTACGCACAGAAACAAAATGAGAGCTTTGTAATTTTTTCTAGTGACCCAGAAGTAATATTGAATTTTGATAGGCTTTAGTATTTCCAAATCCTTTGTACAAAACTTTACTATATTTTCTGTCCTCCGGTCTTATCTGTATTACAGATTAGTTACTTAAAAATGTTTATTTAAAAAATGTTTTTAAGATATGTAATTATATGTATGTATTTATATGTAATTGCCATTATCTGCAAATGACTGCAGAAGTGCCACAAGTTGATTTGGGGGTAACAAATTTTAGCAGTCAATGAATTCACAAAATATGAGATCTGTGAATAGTGAGAAGCAAATTTTTTTAATCAGCCTTGTACCTATAACTGATTTTATAGTTTTGCTTTTCTTACAGACACAAGTAGGACGTTTTGCACCTCAGTTCTCCGGATACCAGCAGCAGGACTGTCAAGAGCTATTAGCTTTCCTATTAGATGGATTACACGAAGATTTGAATAGAATTAGGAAAAAACCATATATACAATTAAAAGATGCAGATGGAAGGCCAGACAAGGTAAATTTAATGATATTATTGTCACCACTGTTATAATAATGTTATATCTCTGTGTAATATGTGTCTATTTTTCTTACAGATTGTTGCTGAAGAAGCCTGGGAAAACCATTTAAAAAGAAATGATTCTATCATAGTAGATATATTTCATGGCCTTTTCAAATCAACTTTAGTTTGTCCTGAATGTGCTAAGATTTCTGTAACATTTGATCCTTTTTGTTACTTGACACTTCCATTGCCCATGAAAAAAGAACGTACCTTGGAAGTATATTTAGTTAGAATGGATCCACTTACTAAACCTATGCAGGTAAATCATGATTATTTTCTTTGCATTTCTTACTTTTATAAAAACTTGGTGTTCAGACCTTGTGGCTCAAGCACAATTCAATAATAAATTTATTTGTGTAAGAGATTTTATAAACTAAATACTGGAAATTTTAGTACAGCTTTTTAGAATTTTGAAAAGGTGAGGGATGTGTAAAGTATTATTTGTAAAAGCAGAATTCTCAAAGTCTTTTTCGTATGAAAGAAAAATGATAGGTTGTTCAATTTACAGTGTTAGGATAAATATGAGCTTACCAAAGATTAATGACATTATTTTTCCCATTTTCCAACTTGAACTTTAATGTTAATTATATATTTTTTCTAATGGCTGTTAGAAGTAGAACTAATAGCATACATTTTGATTCATGATTTGATAATAGTATACTTAAATACCTCTGATATTTAGGCATGTTAACTTGGAAGAGAAATAGAAATTTAGTTTGGCTATAAATACTTGCTTCACTAATGTTCTAAGCAAAGCACTATATTTTCTCCCTTCATTAATCAATTAATCCTTCTGTGACACCTGAACCACCCTTAAAAAAAGTAGTTCTTCCTCTTCTACCTTCAGTTTCTGTTATCACACTTAATAAATTTTATTATGACCTTTGGTTTACTTATCTTTTCTCCACTAGACCATGAGTCTTTGAAGATGGGGACTTTGTAAATCTTTGTATTTCCAACCCCCATAACTTGTAGTACTACTGATGCAGAAATATTCAAAAATTTATATATATATAAATATGTGTTGGGCACCTCATGAAATTGTAAAGCTCTGTCTGACAAACAGGAGACATGGTTCCTACTTTAGAAGACTGTTTACTGAAGATCTTTAGCTTAGAGTTCCAACCAGATAGTGCAGTTTCTTAGAGCATAGTAGTTATAAACTGAGTGGCTTTAAACAATAGAAATTTTTTTTCTCACAATTCTGGGGGCTAGAAGACTAAAATCAAGAGTACCAGCATGGTTGGTATCTAGTGCAGACTCTATTCCTGGTTTACAGACAACCTTGTCCTCACTGTGTTTAGAGAGAGCACAGTTGAAAGAGAGCACCTGTTTGCACATAAGCTCTGTCGCATCTCCGTATAAGGGCACTAATCCCATCGTGAGGACCCCATCTTTTTGATCTCCTATAAACCACCCAAAAGCCCCCTCTCTAAATACCATTACTTTTAGTGGTTAGGGTTTCAACACTAAATTTTAAGGGGACGCAGTTCAGTCAATTGCAATATCATGAGATCTGTATGAAAGGTCTACTTTTGAGCAAAGTTAAAATCTTACCATTAATTTAGTAAGTGTTTGGGTTTACTCTCAACAAGGACACAATAAATGAAGTGTTCATGATAAAAGTATAGTCCTTTAATTCAGAGTGATTAAAGTCTAGTAAAGACTAGTCATACACTTAATGCACATTTGCCCTATTTCTTTTGCTACTTTATATGTTTCCTTCATGAACTCATTGAACCTGATGCCCTCATGTCAATATCTCATTCAATAGTACTAAGAATATTGAGCAGGGCCAGAAAAGGCCTGCTTTTATTTTTGGCCAGGGGAATATAGGTTCACATTTCTAAAATCACACCCTTTAATAAGCATAGAATTGTTAATGTTCTTTTCAGTGGAGGGAAACAGTAACAATGCTAAACTACACTCGTACCTCTAGTTTGGAAGTTTGTAAATATATGCCAATGAGTATAATGGAATGAGAGAGAAGCATAAAACAATAAGTAAAATTTATCGCAACAAAAAAATAAATATACTGTTTTTCTACGTTACATTTGTTACAGACAGTACTCTCCCGTGCTAGTAATACAAAGTAATCTTTATTACATGGAGACAGATTGCATTCAAATTTCACATTAGCCTATAAGGCATGTACTGAATGTTCTCCCATAATTTGAGTTTTAAATTGTTTTCCCAGTAATATGAATTCCATTAGTATAGCTCTTTTTCTTTTTTTTTTTTTTAAGATTTTATTTATTTATTTGACAGAGAGAGACACAGTGAGAGAGGGAAAACAAGCAGGGGAAGTGGTAGAGGGAGAAACACGCTTCCCTCAGAGCTGGGATTGAGCCCAGTCTGGGACTCGATCCCAGGACCCTGGGATCATGACCTGAGCCGAAGGCAGACTCTTAACTACTAAGCCACCCACTGTACCTCTTTTTTCACTTGGTGGCCAAAACTACAGATTTGTGGAGATTGGAGCCATGGTCAGCACAAAGAATTGGGCATTTTTTTCCTACTTGGAGGCGGTAACAATTCAAATACAAAATGATGGGCTCATTAACAGTGTGCTTTAACCAGCTGGAGAGGAAAGGGAAATTAACTGAGTTAACTTACTTGATGAGTTTTCCCATCACTGAAGTTGATTTAGGTCATAGTTTATTAGTAATTGTACTGAACATGTATTAGGTATTGGACTCCCACACTCTGCAAAGTGCTGGAAATCAAAGGTGTTCCTGGTTCTTGTTCCCAAGAAGCTTTTCATATACTGTGAAAAATGCTGTGACAGGGTACTGTAGGAGTATGCAGGAGTGACATACCCCAACCTACCAATGCACCTGTGTTAAATCCTGAGGAGGATTAGGTTTTAAGTGTGTGAAAGCTGGAAATAAAGACATTGTAGAGCACAAGAGTGGGATATACAAAGAGCTAAAGGCAAAGAGGATATGGCCCACATCTGGAAATTATAAGTAGATAATATGGTAAGCAGAAGTGAGCTAATAAAGAAATTTGCTGCCATGAAAGGAAGTTTGGACTTCATCCTAAAAATGAGGGGAGCAATTAAAGATTATTAAATGAGAGATTACATTACCAGATTTGTATTCGAGAAAGAAGACCCAGGCTAGTGCAAAGATTGTATTGGAAAAGCTTAGGTCAGATGTACTAAGACCATGTAAGTGAGTTTTGCAGTGATCAGATGATAAATGAAAAGGGCTTGACCTCTTAAGATTAGTGTCAGGATGGCAATTAGAAGAAATAGTTGAATACAAGAAGTAAAAATGTTTAAGAGTATTCAAAGATGATGCCAAGCTTATTGGGTTGCAGAACTGAGGAGACAGAGGTGCTATTTGTTTTAATGGGATATACAGGAAGAAAGGTTTAGAAAGAAACCTGTTTTAATATTGGGTATGCTGACCTAACATGACCTAAATCTGTGTTAAGTGTTGTACATGTTGAGGTGCATGACGAAAATTTAGGTAGAGCTATCAGTTGGCATTGAGTTTCTCTATCTAGACTGGAGGAGAGATGTCTGTGCTTGAGATAGAAATTGGGCAGTGAACTCTATGAAAATAATAGTGAATGTCTTCGAAGGATGAGATTCCTTAAGGCTAGGGTGATCCTGTAATGTATCATCTAAACCAGAATTCTCTTAAAAATAAAAGGGGCCATTATTAATAATTATACCAGGACAGCAGGCTCATCCAGGACTGGCCAAAGCAAACTGGGGTATATTGTCACCTGTTCTAAAAAGAGAGCCTATACAGTCAAGAGGGCTAAGGGGGTGGGGGAGGGTAGCGTCTGGGTGGCTCAGTTCGTTAAGCCTTTAATTATCTGCCTTGGGCTCAGGTCATGACCCCATTGTCTTCGGATCAAGTCCCACATTGAACTCCTTGCTCAAGGAGGTGCCTGTTCTTCCTCTGCCTTCTGCTCTCCCTGCTTGTGTATGCACGCTCTCTTTCTCTCTCTCTCTCTCTCTCTCTGACAAATAAATAAAATCTTAATAAGAAAAAAAGATTAAGGGTAAAATTCTAAAGGAATTTGACAACCTTGGTAACAGGTAAAAGAAAGAAATGAGGACAAAAGCTAGGGGTGGATTGATAAGTGAATGGGAAGTGAGGAAGTTAAGATAGTGTAGACATTACTTTTAGCAAGGTTATTTATAAAGCAGATAGAAAGGGAGATAGAGGGAAGAGGCAGTGAGGGAGTGGTTTATTTCATTCTTTTTTCCTTTCTTTCTTTCCTTTTTTTTTTTTTGAGAGGCTTGTAAATTATTTCACTGCTTATGTAACGATCAGAACAAAATGGAATAAAGGCTGATTGCTGGTTCCCAAGGAAATGGAACAGGATGAGATTCAGAGCATAGGTGCTAGGTTTAGCCTTAGATGGGAAGGGTGACACCTGATTCTCTTTCCCTATGTAGAAAAAGATGGAGAAAAGGGTCTTTTAGAAGTTTGTTGAAGGACACAAAGTTGGAGATTTTCCTATCCAGTAACCTCTTTTTTTCTTTTTCTCTTTTTTCTTTGTGTTTTTTTGTTTGTTTGTTTTGTATTTTGGTTTTTTTGTTTTGGTATTCTGTGGACGGTGAAGGGAGAGGTGGGGAAATAGGAAGCCTAAGGAATGGTGAGGATTTTATATAGTTACTGAGAGAAATGAGGGAAGAAGTAAATAAAAGAGGCACAGAATTTCTGGCTAGTGTTGAACAGTCAGTTAAGACTTGGGCACTGTGAATTTGTAGCAAACCAATCTCTAAGTTGGTCAGTTTTCTCCAGCATATCAAACAGCTCTTAGAAACTATAGCAAGAATAAAATTGAATAACAAAATAGTTAAAGGTTTTGCAGTGCAGTAGTTGAAGTGATGAATCATGTGGGATCTGGATGGAAGGCCATGAAGACAGTAGGAAGCTGGAAAAACAGGAGAAAATTGAGAATTAAAAGGACTAAAGCTCTAAGTGCAAGCCAGGAATGGGGAAGAATGAGTTTCCAGGAGAAGTAATTAATGGTTAGTCAGTAGCTTGATAAGAGTTTAAGAAACCGGAGGTGGAATGAGTTTATGGCAAGGTGCAAGAGGTGAACTACAGTTGAATGTAAGTGTGGGTCTTTGAATCAAAGAGCCAGGGAACAATAAGGCTAATTTAAATTATCCATAGAGACATTGCCAGCGAGGATGATGGTAGGATTGGAGAAAGACACTGTAAAACAAATACTAAGTGAATGTGAGGAAGCAACCATGAGTTCATTTTCATCTACTGAGTATTTTTTCCAAAGTAATAAATTCATTACATTTTTTTTGTTTTTTAGTACAAAGTGGTTGTCCCCAAAATTGGAAACATACTTGATCTTTGTACAGCATTGTCTGCTTTGTCAGGAGTACCTGCAGATAAGGTAAGGTATTTCTGGGTTTGAAGTATGTAAACTGGAGTTTAGTTTTTCAGTGATATAAAACCAGCTTAATAGAAATTTATTTCCTTTTAGATGATAGTTACTGATATATACAATCATAGATTTCACAGAATATTCGCTATGGATGAAAACCTTAGTAGTATTATGGAACGGGATGATATTTATGTGTAAGTATAAAATTCATTGTGCAAAATATTAATTGGGAAAATTTCAGAAGAAATAACATAAAAGTTTTCAGAGTTTATGGTCAGTTTTGTCCTTATAGGTTTGAAATTAACATCAATAGGACAGAAGATACAGAGCATGTGATTATTCCTGTTTGCCTAAGAGAAAAATTTAGACATTCAAGTTACACCCACCATACTGGTTCTTCACTTTTTGGCCAGCCTTTTCTTATGGCTGTACCACGAAATAATACTGAAGATAAACTCTATAATCTCCTGCTTTTGAGAATGTGGTAAGTGTCAAACAATTCTACATTAACAAAATGAGTGTTAGAATAGTTAATAAAAATAAATGTGCAGTGTCTATCAGAATATAATTTGATAAGCCTATATTATCTCAACTATTTAAACAGAAATTTTACAAAATCAAATTATAGTTTAATTCAGTTTGTTGATCATGTAAAACACATTACTTAGGTAATTACAAACCCAGAAAGCATGAATCTTTTAGCTATTTTAAACCAGAAGTTTACAGTTGGAAGAAAATAAGAATTTGTCATGTATGCACTCTGACAATATAACAAATTTCAGATGCTTCATTTCTTTATACACCTTGCTGGTTCAGGAACTCCTACAAATGGTTTTATTTAAAAGAATAAACTTTCAGGGTTGAGAGTATTTTAAGCCAACCCCTTTTTGTCTTCCTAAAAACCTTGATTTGAAATGTAATCAAAACTGCCATTTGATCCCTTTGATTTTATCCTTTGTAACTGACATATTCTTTCTTGTATAACTATTTTAATCATTATAGTCCCATAACCCATACATAAAGATCCCATTATACAATTATAAGTGATCTTAGCAATAATACATATATCACCTAAATGAGGATATTTATAAATAATTTTAAGTCAAGAAATTATTTGCCACAAACTTTTATCATAGAAAGATGTTAAAACCCTAGTGGTAACAAATCAACTCCTTTCTTTTTATAAAGACAACCACAACAGAAATGATTAGTCACTTGCACTTATGGTACTATATCCTGAATTTGATTTATCCTTGAATCTACTAAATGACCACTATTACTTCATTAAAAAGTACTGAAAGAATGGAAAACTTTTTTTTTTTTTAGTTTTTACCTTCATAGAACTAAATTTGTATGATTTCTGATTTTATTTAAGCCGATATGTCAAAATATCTACTGAAACTGAAGAAACTGAAGGATCCCTACACTGCTGTAAGGACCAAAATATTAATGGGAATGGCCCAAATGGCATACATGAAGAAGGCTCACCAAGTAAGACTTTCCTGTTAAATTATAAAACCTTTCACTTGGATTATTGCCTCAGAAAAAAAGAAGATGGGGATTAAGGAACTAAAAAAAATCTCTCCAAGCCTGGGAAAAATATTGTTAATATTAATAACTTTTAAATGTAGCATTGGGTTTATTTAAAGACTTCTAATATCTAAAATTAGGTGAAATGGAAACAGATGAGCCAGATGATGAATCCAGCCAGGATCAGGAACTTCCCTCCGAGAATGAAAATAGTCAGTCTGAAGATTCAGTTGGAGGAGATAATGATTCTGAAAATGGATTATGTACTGAGGAAATTTGCAAAGGTCAACTCACGGGACACAAAAAAAGATTATTTACATTCCAGTTCAACAATTTAGGCAATACAGATATCAACTACATCAAAGATGATACCAGGCATATAAGATTTGACGAGCGGCAGCTTAGGCTAGATGGTAAGTATGAAAACTGGCTTGAACACTGAACTTGAGCAAAGTATGTTATTATTTTAGGTGAAAACTGAAATTCAATAGTCATGAAAAATAACATTCACTTATCTATATAAAATCTACGTATCTTAAATGAAAAGTTTTAATTTCTAAGCGTACTAAAACACATCACTGCTTATTAAATGGAGGTTAGACTTATGCTTAAGTTTTCAGTCTTTTTTTTTTTTTTAACTCCTTAAATTTTTAATGGCTTGGAAACAGCAAGTAGAAAAGTAGTCCAAGTAGAAAAGATTGTTTATTCTAGTATATATCTTAACATTAAAATATACTCATTTTAATGAAGGCATATTAAGTTTTAAAGAAAAAAAATGTGTTTTTCATCTTAGAAAGATCTTTTCTTGCTTTGGATTGGGATCCTGATTTGAAAAAACGATATTTTGATGAAAATGCTGCTGAGGTAAGTCATCACTCATTCCATATCTACCCAGGTTGATTGCAGTTTTGTTACTTTCTTTTCCTTCTACCAAGTATGGTTACTTTGCTAGTAGAAAAATGGTTATGTACTAGAAAAGTCTTGTTGGTTTACACACATGCTTTCTATTAACAGTTTTAATCATCCATGTAGGTGTGTATAGAGAAGTTTTTTTAGAAGAGTGGTATAAATCTCAGCTGAAATAAGCTTTATAGTTCTTTTGAGAAAGTTTAGGAGTTTTTCATTGCTATTCATAGTAAGATGGTATCACTAAAATGAGTTTTGTTTCATTTGTTCTCTTAACTCAAGAAATACTTCTCTTTAGGATTTTGAAAAACATGAAAGTGTGGAATATAAACCTCCTAAAAAACCCTTTGTGAAATTAAAAGATTGCATTGAGCTTTTTACAACAAAAGAAAAGCTAGGTGCTGAAGATCCCTGGTAAGAGACAAAGTTAAAAAATTGCATCTAATTATTTTGTAAGGATTTGTACTGAGGTATGTGATATATCAAGTTGAAAAAGCAGTAACTAAATTCCTTTTGATATTTTAAATAATAAGCACTTCTTTAAATGATAATAGTCTGTTAAAAGTGATTCAAGGGGCACTGGGTGTCTCAGTGGATTTAGGTTTCTGTCTTTGGCCCAGGTCACAATCCTAGGGTCGTGGGATCGAGCCCTGAATCAGGCTTCCTGCTCAGTTGGGAGCCTGCTGCTTCCTCTCCTCCCCACTTGTGCTCTCTCTCACTTTATCTGTCACTGTCTGTCTCTCTCTCTCTCTCAAATAAATAAATAAAATCTTTAAAAAGAAAAGTGACTCAGATGTTTAGAAGTATTATTATAATGTTAAGCTTTAATCTTTGTACTGTATTTTCTACAGTAGCAATTTTACTATGGATAATTTTAGTTTTCCCAAGAATTTTTTGCTGTGCAGCTGTTCTGATAGAAACGTTTTTAGGAAAATCATGTTTTAGGTGTTATTAATTTCATTAGAGCCCAGAAGTTTTGAGATTTTCTAATACTTATATCTCAGCATAGTTTTGTGTTCTTTTAGCCTACTAAAATGTAAATAATTTAGCCTTCATCACTTCTTTGAATACCTATATACATATTAATTTATAATATTCTAAATCAATTTGATTTACTGAAGATATATATATATATATATATATATATATATATATATATCTAAGTCTGATGTATATTAGGCACATAGTAATTGCCCACTGAATAAATGTGAAACTTGCCACGCATTTTTTTAATCTATTATTTTCATTACCTTTAGCAAGTTTTAAATATTTCACTTTATTTTTAGGTATTGTCCAAATTGTAAAGAACATCAGCAAGCCACAAAGAAACTGGATTTATGGTCCCTGCCTCCAGTACTTGTGGTACATCTCAAGCGATTTTCTTACAGTCGATACATGAGAGACAAATTGGATACTTTAGTTGATTTTCCCATCAAGTAAGTTTTGATTATGCTTTATAAACATTGGGCAACTGTAGGTTCGTAAAATCATCAGATAGTATTGGATCCAACTTCAGTTTTTTAGTGTATTTGTGAGTAGTCCGAAAAATTTGTAAGGATCAGTAAAAATTTTTATTCCTTTTTAGATATTTTTCAGAGAGGGGCGCCTGGGTGGCTCAGTTTGTTAAGCCTCTGCGTTCGGCTCAGATCATGATCTCAGGATCCTGGGATCGAGTGCCTCGTCGGGCTCTCGGCTCAGCAGGGAGCCTGCTTCCTCCTCCTCTCTCTCTCTGATTGCCTCTCTGCCTACTTGTGATCTCTCTCTGTCAAATAAAATAAATAAAATCTTTTTTAAAAACAGGTATTTTTCAGAGAATAAAGAGAAAATACACCTTTTTAAACAGAATAAAAGTAATTCTGTATTACATTATTATATGGGCTCATTGGCACTGTTTATAAATAAATCTAAGGTACTCTGTGGGATTGTACTGATTTTATTTTTTCCTAGGATTTATTTCATCATTAATCATCAGTTATTCCTAAGTACACTTTTTTACAAAGACTGAATGTGAAACAGAATAATGTAATTGTTGAAAAGGATGATACCAGTAGTATAATCAGTCATCCCTTTTGTGTCATACTTCAGTTTATTGCATTGGTCAGGGTATTACATCATTTTTGTAAAAAGTCTGGAGACAGCATCTTTGTAGTCCTTTATTTTTTTCTAAACCTTTCACTAAATTTAATTGAGAATTCATAAAGACAAAAATGAAATTGTGTATTCTTGTTCACATGGTCCAGGAAGGACTTCATCACGTAATATTTTGCAGCAATAACTTGGTACTCTCCTATTTTACTAAAAGAACATTGATAGTATTCTTTTATATTTTGTATTTGTGCACCAGGTGTTTGATACAGTTAACAAGTAGACAGCTGCCATTGGCAGGTGTGTGTGATTAGAAAGAAATAGAGGTAATATTGAAAACATTCTTTGGATTATTCTGATTGGTGTTTGTAAAGTTACAATTAAAAATATTTTGCAGTTTTTTACCAGAAAAAAAATGGTAATTTTCTCCTTAACAAAATTATGAGCCATCAAAGTTTTATCAAGAATATAGCATTAAAAAAAAAAAAAAAAGAATATAGCATTTTGATAGTTTAAGTGCAAGAAGAACTGAAGTAATGAAAAGCTGGAATCTGTGAGATATATTTGGAATTTGAATCATTATTGCTTTTTAATGATGCAAGTCAAAAAAAAAAAAATAATGATGTTATAAGATGGTCATGTTCCAGTTTCATGCATGACAGATTACAAACGGTTGCGTTTCAAAAAATATTGCCCACTTGGGGTATATAGATCATCAGAACCAGGAAAGTGTAGAATAATCCTTAAATACGTAATTACTAAAAATGACTTCAGAAATATGAAAAATTAAAAGGGTCCCAATGGCAAATGGTGATGACTCTTTTACTATATACTAGAGAGTTAAATGTATTAGCATAAAACATAAATCTGAATAAACAGCAGTCAGTAGACAATTTTAAAATTCCTAACCCCTAAGAAAATTTTTGCCAAAATATTCAAAACTTAGAGGTGTATGCATATTTTTGGTGCGCGTGTGTCTGTATATATATATAAAATTATATATATGTATGTATTTACACATACATATGATATGTTTTACAGTTATTTGACTCTTATTTCTTTAGTGAGGGAGATTTTTTATATAAATGAGAGTCAAGCAACATTGACAGAAGATAATAGAATTCATGACACTTAGAGAAAACATAAAACTAACTTGATCTCTTTGTTAAACAGTGATCTGGATATGTCAGAATTCCTAATTAATCCAAATGCAGGTCCTTGTCGCTATAATTTGATTGCTGTTTCCAACCACTATGGAGGGATGGGAGGAGGACACTGTAAGTTGACAGTTTACTGTTTTGCCAAAATCATGATGTTTGATTACTGCAGACTTTTTCCTTAAGATATTTATTAAAGGGAAAATGTAGGATGCCTGGCTGCCTTGGTCAGTAGCATGTGACTCCTGATCTTTACTTTTTTTCTCCTCTGTTGAAGGGTATAATTTATAATTAAAGCTATAAATTTCCCTCTACTGCTTTGTCTTTATTCCATTAACTTTGAAATATAGTATTTTCATCTACTTTTAATTCTGTATATATTTTTAATTTCCTTTATGATTTTCTTATTAGTCCAGGGCACTTAATCATACGCTTTTCCAAATGTATGTTTTTTTTAAACCTCTCCTTCTGTCTTAATTTTGATTTTATTACATAACAGTTGGGGATACTGCCTATGTTATATTAATCCTTAGTTTATTAAAGTGTTCATGTACCTTAATACATGGTCTGTTTCTTAAATGTTTCTGTACCTGAAAAACATATGTAGTTCCTGTCCAGACATAGAATTCTATATTTCTCTTATATTTGAAGCTTATCAGTTATATTCAGATATTTGTTATATTTCTTAGAATTTGTCAGGATTCTTATTAAAATGTTGATTTATCTATTTCTACTAATAATTTTATTAATTGTTTTACATTATTAGTTGCATTTATGTTTAAAATGGTAGCTCTTCTTTCTCTATTGTTCCTTTTACCAGTATTTGACATATTTTTTCTTTTGGTATCACTTGGTTTGCAAACTCTAGGTGCCTTTTTGTTCAGTTTTTCTCTTATAAATCATTTTATTGCTAGATCTTGTCTTTTATTCAGTGTTTATTTTTAATTGTGGATACAGTGGTCTGCAGTTCAACTGACAAACTTACAACCCACAATAGGCTCCACCCAGAAGAGCAACAATTTTGTTTTGTGAGGGGTAGAACAATTTAGAAGATATAACCTGTAAAGTGTCACTTTTTAGAAACTATGATGACAGATAATTATTTTGCAGACATTTTGCAACTTTGTTTCCTCAGTTATTGGATAGTTAAGACAAAGCATGAAATGTGTAAAGGGGGCATTTTTAACTTTTAATGATAAAGCAAATCTTTAAAAGTTGTACAAATAAATTACTTTTTATTTTTTTCTTGCTCCGTATTTTTGTTAAAGACTAAAAAAGATTTTGGTGTAAAAACTACTACAAGTTAATAGGATGGTACTGAAAAAATATTTGTCATACAAAATTTAAGTTACGATTAAATAACTTGGGTTTAAATGCTGGGTTTAAATGCTCACTCAACCACTTACCAGCTTTACTGTTACATATTAAACTTCTCTTAATGTTTCACTTTCCCCATTTCTAAAGTTAGAGGAATAATAATACCTTCTCTATGAGATAATACATGTGAAGTACATAGCACTAGAGCTGGTCTACCATAAGCACTACATAAATATTAATTCCCATGTATTGTCAGTAGTATTATTCTGTGAACTGAAAAATAATAAATCTATTCTGTGTGTCCTTGGGATGAAAAAGTCACAAATTTCAATGTCTTTGAAAATTAGGCATTTAGATTGTAGGGAATATATTAAAACCTGTAATCAATGGAATCAGTTGAATGTGTAATAGATAGGTCTTTAGGTCTTGTGTAGATGATTGTCATGTAATTTTAATATGTATTCCTTATATAGATGATTGTAAAGTTTTGCGGGTTCCCCCCAGGAAACCATAGATCATTTCAGTCACAGAAGTGATTATATTTTTTCATTAGATACTGCTTTCGCAAAAAATAAAGATGATGGAAAATGGTACTACTTTGATGACAGTAGTGTCTCAACTGCATCTGAAGACCAGATTGTGGTAAGTATGTCTTTATTTCCTGAAAATCACAAGAGCCACTTTAAAACCTCCCATGAAACACTACAGTCTGTATTTTAGCAGTTTCTAATAGTTAAGAGAGACTTTCTCTGATTTAAAGAAATATAAAGTTGTCCTCTAAGTGGAAATTTGTCTCCAAATTTGCCTACTAAAAGAAGCATAAATTTCATCATGAAAAATGGAGTTTTCTAATGAAAATAATAAAATTTTCCTTTGGAAAATAGGTTCAGACATTTGGGGACATTGACTACTTAGAGTACTAAAATAGAAAAGGAAAAACCTTTAAGGGCCTTCCATTACCATACCTATGATTTTTAAAGTAAAGTCTTATGCTTTGTGACACTTAAACATTTAAACTCAAAATTACATGGTTGGATGAAACAAATTAGAGAAATTTTTTTAAATTGGCCATGAGTATCTGTTACTTGGTTATTTTCTGAATAGTAGAAAAATGAGGAAGTAATATCTGTTCATATTTGCATCAGTTTTTCAGCCACAGATGGAGCCAAAATATTGGCATTTGTTTTGCTTCCCAGCAAAGCATATTTTTGTTAACAAATATTGATTGGTGAGGGGATGACAAGTTTATTCTAAGAAGAAAGTGAAGACTTGGCTTAATAAGGGTCTATTTTTCTATTAAAGTTTGTATTCCTAAAATTTTACTATTTGATCACAATAGTACAAAGAGTGAGAAATGTATTATTTGTTCCTGTGAGCATGGAACTCATATTTCCCAGTTTAAATTTTACATTCTTTAAGGATGATACTAGCTTTTTCTTTAGTTTGTAATGCCTTAAGTCTTCAACATATATTGTCCAGTTTAATAAATTAATAAACTTCTGAGCCCTATTATTGACATAGTTTTAATCCATTGTTACATGAACAGATATGAAATAATTCTGAGTTGCTTCTCTACAGATATCTTATATCTTTATCTATGTGTGTATATATATTATGTACTGTTACTTAACTCCCTAACAAAGAGACTTGAACACTAATATTTTTTAAATATGTATGTACCTAAATTAATTACATTTCCAGTTTATATTTAGACTCCTAATTTCAGGTCTCAACCATCACTTTTCAGTTGTGTTCTTCTCTCTAAATCTCCCAACCAAAACATCCTGAAATTACCTACAGTGATGATACTTCATTTAGTCAGCAGGTATTTGAGTACCTTCTTTATATAGGACTCAATTCAAAACAAGATTAAAAGACAGCTATCTCTGACTTGAAGAGGCTTGAAGTCCAGAAATGATAGAGAAGTAAATTAACAGTTAAATCATAAGTACTATTAAACATCTTGACTGCATGGAAACAGGACAGCCATCTCTCCATTGATTTAGGGTTTAGAGATAAGACCAGTGCAGGGAAGATTGCATGAGAAAGTGGTATTTGACCTGAGTCTGCAACTTTACAAATGGAAGTAAATTAAACAAAAGAAATAAAGGTGTTCTAAGCAGAAAAACAATACCTACAAAAGCAAGGAGGCATGACAGAACATGACATTTAGGAAAACAGCAAATAATTTGGTATTATTGAAAGGACATACTTGTTAGGAATATGGGGCAGAAATTAGGCTAAACTTAAACTTGGCAATTAGATCAAAAAGGATGATATTCTTCAGGGTTTAGAGCTTTTCTTAAAGACTGAGAAGCATGGGTGATTATTAAGCAGTAGAACAGTATTAAATTTGGAAGGCACTGAGAAAAGAAACAGACCATTACAGCCTCCAGCTAAAAGAAGGGTGTCCTTTCTGCAATACAAGCTTCTAAATTTAAGGTTGTGATATAATGTATAGACCAGGCGGAAATAGATTTATAAGATAGTTCCTTAATAGAATTATTAGAACTTGATCAAGATTGGATATAAATAAAGACATAGAAATGCAAAGAGGAAGAAGTTGAAGATTACTTCAGCATTTACCACGATAGGAAATATAGGAAGAATATTTGCTGTTGAAATTTGAGCTACTTTTATGATAGCTTTGCGGAATTTTCCACTAGAAAGTGGGACTAACAGGACTAGAGTTCAGAAGTGAGAACTAGTTTAAGTTACAAATTTGCATTATTGGTCTTAGGTAGCAGTTGAAGCCATAGGTTTGAATAAGTCACCTTGTGAGAAGATATAGATTGAGAAAGAGTGGTGGGCAGAGGACAGAACGTGATTTTTTTTTTTTTTTAAGGTTAGGACTTAATGAGAACACAAAAAAAGAAACAACCATGGAGATAGAAGATCTAAGAAAAAATAGTGTCATAAATGCCGAAAATTATTTGATGCGGGAAAGAGGAGGAGTAAAGCATTAAATGCTACCGAGAGATTGACTAAAAGGACATTAAAAAGCACCCATTTAATTTGTCTATAGTAGATTATTGCCTCTAGTGAAAGGCATTTCGTTAGAATGATTGAGGCAACAGATCATACTGAATTGAGAAGTGTGCACGAGAGTGAAAAATGAATATTCGACAGCTTTATCTGCCAGCCTGGCAACTAGAAGAAGGCAGTAGAATGAAGAGGGATTTAGGATGGGAAAAGACTTGAGTATTTGTTATGCCAAGAAGTCCAGTAGATAAAGAACTTACTAAAGATATGTAGTGATGATGAATGGAGCAATATCCTTAACAGTAGGAAAAGCTGGACTCTAAAGCAAACTTAGTGATTAGTGTTAGAAAGAAGCTTACCTTTTCCTTAGAGATGGGAGGGAAGAAGCATAGAATTGTTTCATGTTAGAGTAAATAGGTCAATCTATGAAATAGTTGCATTTACTTATCTGTTCAACCAATGTAATAGAGAATAAAAAAAAATGTTAATTCTGTTGACTATTCCTCCTTTATATATAGATGTCATCTTATATTTAAACCAATTTTAGTAACTTCCTTTTGACCATGTGTGATTTTTCTGTTTGATTTATGCCCTGTGACCAAAATGGATTACCAGCTGAAAAATACGTAGTATACTTAATGTGATCTTTGAGAATCATGACGATTTTAACATGCTTTATTTGTTTCAACAGTCCAAAGCGGCATATGTACTTTTCTACCAGAGACAAGACACTTTCAGTGGAACTGGCTTTTTTCCTCTTGACCGAGAAACTAAAGGTGCTTCAGCTGCCACAGGCATCCCATTAGAAAGTGATGAAGATAGCAATGATAATGACAATGATATAGAAAATGAAAACTGTATGCACACTAACTAATGAAAGTCCTAGAAGCCATAAAAGAGAGACTTTCCTGCTGGTGGTATCTATTGAAATGATGAAGTTACCCACCACATTAAACAAAAGTCTGAGATGGGGAGTTTCAGATAACCGAATGTAAATCCTTTATCAGATTTTAACTTGTGCAGTACTTGAAGTGAAACACAATGAAAACTTTAACAGAAATTGTCTCTTAATACATTTACAGTCTTGTAATTACAAGCTAAATATATATAGGAAATCACAAATAAATCCCTTTTAAGTTTGCTGCTGTTTTGATGAATTACGTTTTCTTTAATTTTTTGGATGTGAGTTAATTGATGACAAATGTTAAATTTGTGGATGTTGGTCATTTATTTTGCTCTAATAATACTGCAAGAAAACTATGGCTGAACTTAGTTTTTGGATAATCTAGTTCATGTGCATTAGGCTGCCACATATATTACTATAATATTTAGCTGCGGTATCAATGTGGCATAAATACTGCAGTAGTATTCTTGGAAAACCAAATTTTCAAATCTATCCCTGGTAATCTACATGGGCCTATTAAAAAACCAAATCATGATATAAGAAACAATCTTGGAAAAGTTATTTTCTTTTGTAATATCACTAAAAATCCAGAATATTATGTTCATCTTACTGCTGCTGTGGAAACAGGTTCTAGATTTCACACTCCATCTAAAATCATTTTTCAGTTAAATGTAAGTATTTTTTACTGCTATTCGGATCTGTTCCTTAGATACTCAAAATTTTTTTGACTTGCTTTAAAATGCACATCTTTAATCTGGTGTGTTCCAAAATTAAAATTTTTGCTGTCTGTTTTTCTCTACCCCATTTTTTGGTAATTTGGCAACTTTTAGCTCTTCCAATTATTGTAATAGAAGGACAGACTTAAGAATATTCTGTATCCATAGTAATAACTACATCAAGCTTAGATGAGAAATTTTTTTCATATACTGGCCTTTAAATCATTAATGGACAATTGGCTTTAAAGGTAGGTCTGTTAACTTTCTTTGTGTGTTCCTGATGGAATTCACCATAGCCTTACAGCTTTTCTCAGAAGGTAACTTGTTATAAGAAAATTGGCATTGCATGTTCTAGAGTCAGAACCTGTATAGTATTTAAAGCATACAAACCTTGAATTTGATTTACGTTCACCACATTCAAGGATCCAGGATGCCAAAAATACGTGTGAACATTTGAAACATTTTTCATTTGCTGCTTTTTCCCTTTAATCTAGTTGAAAGAATGTATTGTCGATTGGCATACAATACTGCCTTTAATAGAAAATCTAAATGCTGGGGCACATTTCACATATCGACTACCTGAGAAATTGCTTTGTGTCCCACTGTTATTAAAGCAAAAAGTATAATGTTCTTCACTTGAACTAATCAAATACAATAGATTATAAATTGTGTATTGTAAATAAAAGTTCACTCTGTGAGTGCACATTTTGGTAAATTATTTATTTATGTTAGCATTTAAAAGTTTAAAAAAAAAGATGCATTTGACCAGGATAAATGAGGTATGTTGATCATGGCTTTGCTTTATACCTTGATATTAAAGCTGGTTTTTCATCCTGGTATTTTAAAAGCTGCTTTGGGTTTTTTGTTTTTTTTTCCTTTTCTTTTCTTTTCCTTTCTTTTCTTGCTTTTCTTCTTCTTCTTTTTTTTTTTAATGTAAACTAACCTCCTGCATGACAGAGGTTAAAATTTTGTCTGCACTTGAGTTCACTTGAGTTTACATTTGAAATGTGCATGTTTATTTATACAGATTTCAATAAAGCTATTTAAGGCCTTATTTAGTCTTTTATTTCTTACTCTGAATCTTTTGATAAAAACCCCCTATTTTTATGGGTGGGTGACTATATGATAGACTTTTTAGTTATTGTATAATTAAAGATAGAAAAGAAAGCATGTCAGAGTAAAGCAGATCCTCTTAAGGATGTGTTTCAAAGTTGATTTTTAATTTAAATATTCATTAAACATTTATTTATGCACCTACTAATCCTGTTCTGTAGTCTTGAGATAGAGCCATAAACAAGCATCTCTCCACTCAGCTTGCAGTCTTTCTGCTGTCTACCACCTAATAGACTTCATTTTTCTGAGGTTTACAGAAAAACCAAAATTAACTTTTTCCAGCCCTGGATTGAAGTCTCCACCCCAGTTGTCCATGGAGACCCATTTCTTTTCAATGCCTTTGATTAACTTTTATTCCCACTAAAAGAAGTGTTTTTAAAATAGAAAATGATGTTAATAATACCATTGAATTTGTCAAACTCAAATGACATTGTCAGCTGCAAATAAATAAATAAATAAATAAAAATAGTGCAAAAGGTTAATCCATACTCTAATTAAAAGTAGATATTCATAATAATATCTAAGTAGATATTCTAATATCTAATTCTAATAATAAGGGTGGTAGGAATGTAGCCAGTCTAGAATTCCACTGTTAGCTTTTCTACTTAGTAGTCAGATGACTTTGAATTTAATCTCCCCAGTATGTTTCTTCACCTATAAAATTATAATAATAATAGCATTATTGAGCACTTAAAATGGACCAGGTAGTATATTAAAGTGCTGTATGTAGTATCTCATTTAATCCCATAGTAGCTATGAGGTAGAGACATTCATCATCACTGTTTTTCATTTGGAGAAACCAAGGTACAAAGCAGTTACTATTCCCAAGTTCACATAATTACTATGTGGTGGAGCCAATATTCTATCCTCAGTTCTGTATACTCCCTCCCACTTTTTTTATAATGTCAGCCTCACAGGATTTTTGAGATCGCAAATGAGATCATGTATTTTATGGAAAGGTGCTTTGTAAACTATGTAGTATACTCATTACTGATTTAAATTTAATAAAGCACTTTTTTCCTTGTTTATCTAACTCAAGTATGCCCTTCTTTACATTTCCGCAAATGCATCCCTAATTTTCAGGACTTTTTTCTTCACATATAATTTAGTTTTAATTAATCTCTGCAATAGCTATAGCTTGATACTTTGTTTAAAGATCTTGCTTTCTCTTATAGTCTGTTCTTTTTAGCAGTCCTATATTTATCCTTGCTTTCCTGGCAACTCACTATAAAACCACACAAACTTTTGATTTGGGCATGAAGAAAATCAATAACTACTGATTGATTCTGTACAAGGACAGAATTTAAGGACAACACTTCCTCATCAACTAATCTCCCTAAGGTAAGGACATTTTATAAGAAATAAGCCAGGAGGGGCACCTGTGTGTCTCAGTGGGTTAAAGCCTCTGCCTTCAGCTCGGGTCATGATCCCTGGGTCCTGGGATCGAGCCCCGCATCCGGCTCTCTGCTCAGCAAGGAGCCTGCTTCCCCCCCTCTCTCTGCCTGCCTCTCTGCCTACTTGTGATCTCTGTCTGTCAAATAAATAAAATCTTAAAAAAAAAAGAAAGAAAGAAAGAAAAAGAAATAAGCCAGGAGACTGTAAGAAAAGATGAGGTGAGTCTCTTTCATTGGCTTACCAAAGGGGCAGAGGATGGGGTATGTGCAGATTAGAATCTTTCACCCCAAAGAGGAATTGACACTATTATTGGTGCATGGTGAAAATAAAAAGCAGGCCAACTTTTGGTCAGGTTTTTTTATGTTTTTTGTTTTGTTTTTTTTTTTTAATTTTAGGAAAAACTTGGGGGAAGGACACGGGAGGGAGAATCCCAAAGCAGACTCCCTATTGAGTGTGGATCCCAGTAGGTGCTCCATCTCACAACCCTGACATGAGCCAAAATCAAGAGTCAGCTGCTCAACTGACTGAGCCACCCAGGCACCCCTATGTTTATGTTCTTTATTGACAATACATTTCATTACCGCCTACTTCCCATCCTCCCTTCTTGGTATGCTCCTGATCTTTGCTTGTGTAGTATAGATTAGCACATTCTCTTTAAGTTAGTTTTTAAGATACAAATGTGGAAAATTCTTGATTGTTAGGGCAAAGAACCAGAAATCCTCTAAAATCTCAGAAAATAATTTCATTTCTGGAGCCAAAGAAGAATAGTGGAAATCTTTCTTTGTATTTTTTACTTTATTTTATTTATTTATTTTTTTATTTTTAAAGATTTTTATTTATTTATTTGACAGAGATCACAAGTAGGCAGAGAAAGAGAGGAAGGGAAGCAGGCTCCCCGCCGAGCCGAGAGCCTGACGCGGGGCTCGATCCCAGGATCTGGGATCATGACCTGAGCTGAAGGCAGAGGCTTTAACCCACTGAGCCTAGTTAATTGTATTTTTTATTTTATGATAAAATAAAATTTCTGTTTTTCTTTGAAATCACTTCTCTTAAAAATATAATTACGTTGATAATTCCCAAATAATTCTTTTAATGACACTCAAAAGCACTAAAAGGTGAAAGGAGAATATATGGATATCCTTCTTGACTTACATATGAAGTTGCAGAGCTGTACTACATTGTTTTGTTATCAGATTTTTTGCAATGAGAAATATATATATATATATATATATAAAAGCATTTTAGATTGTGGAACATTTCAGTTAGATATGTGTATTTTTCATATGTTTAATTTATATTTACTATATATTAAACAAAAAAAAATTCCCAAATAGTCCAGACAACAAAACTTTCATTTAAAAAATATATACTCAAATTGTTATAAGCTACATAAAGTAGGTTTTTAAATATAATTGGGAAGTTAAAATGTACATAGTAAAATTCAAATATTGATCAAGACTTATTTGCAGTAATGATGGAGTAAAGAATTTTTTAGTAGGTAACATAAAACAGGCAGTACAAAAATTATTTTTGGCAAATAAATACATTGGGAAACATACTCACCCCACATCATACCATAGTCTAATTGTATCCCGTCTCTGCCTTTTGAGAGTGCAGAAATTGCCAGGGTAATGAAAGAGAGACTCTACGTTATTAAGGGAATCTAGAAAGTAGATAAACCATTTAAGAAAATCAAGAGTTGACATAATAGAGTCTAGAGTCTCAGAGGACAGGGAGCAAGTGAATCAAATAGATTTTGGTGTAATATTTTTTTCTAGAAATGTCTGTTGGATATGATTGTACAAAGCAGCTAAATATACAGCTCTTCTGTAATTGTTCTTTTAAATGGAAATCCTGTAAGAATAAATATTTTCAGTATCTTCCAATATGCACAAAATCAAATATTTTAAATGTTTAAACTGTTTTGGTAATTAACTATGTTCTACTGTAGAAAATCATAGTTGATGATGGTGCTCATTTTGCTCAAAATTTCCTCACATCAGGAACTTGCAGCTTGTTCTATATAGTTTGGTGAAACAAAAAATAGTTTCATTTGCTGTGACCTTCAAGTCCATTGCTAGCTGGAGTTAAATCTACGTACATAAAAGTAAAACAATAAATATGGAATCATCCCAACAGTCTTTTCCCATAATGTGTATTCTTACCTTTTTCTCAATAATGACACATTCTTATAATTTCCCAAACTTGCTTAAAAGCTTAACTATCGGGGCACCTGGGTGGCTCAGTGGGTTAAAGCCTCTGCCTTCGGCTCAGGTCATGATCACGGGGTCCTGGGATGGAGACCCGCATCTGGCTCTCCGCTCAGCAGGGAGCCTGCTTCCCTTCCTCTCTCTCTGCCTGCCTCTCTGCCTACCTGTGATCTCTGTCTGTCAAATAAATAAATAAAATCTTTATAAAAAAAAAAAAAAAGCTTAATTATCAGGGCGCCTGGGTAGCTCAGTGGATTAGGCCTTTGCCTTCAGCTCAAGTCATGATCTTGGGGTCCTGAGATCGAGCCCCACATTGGGCTCTCTGCTTGGCAGGGAGCCTGCTTACCACTCTCTCTCTGCCTGCCTCTCTGCATACTTGTGATCTCTCTCTCTCTCTCTGTCAAATAAAATCTCTAAAATAAAAGCTTAACTATTGTCAAATAAAATCTCTAAAATAAAAGCTTAACTATCACCTTTTTTTAAATTCTTAGTTAAAATCTTTCAGGATTTTTAAACTTTGTAACATCTCCCGTCTCTCATTAAACTTTTATTACAGTATTTGCTTTTCTTTTTAAACTTTGTAAAAGAGCATCAGAGGTTCATTGATTCTTAGATATGATTCAGATAATTTAGACTTATGTGTTAAAGTATCTCATATATGTCTGGCCTTCCATGTGTACCTCCACTGTTTCTTCTAGCTTGCTTTCTTCTGATATTGAATTCTCCCTATAAACAAGTGAAAGTATTTCATTTTCTTTATAGTGAAAGCCATCTTCCATTATGTGAAGTAGTGAACTACCAGTGTCCTGAAACAAATAAGAATTATTTTAAGATTTTTTTTTTTTAATTAGATCACAAGTAGGCAGAGAGGCAGGCAGAGAGAAAGAGGAGGAGGAGGCAGGCTCCCTGCTGAGCAGAGAGCCCGATGCGGGACTCGATCCCAGGACCCTGAGATCATGACCCCAGCCGAAGGCAGAGGCCTCAACCACTGAGCCACCCAGGCGCCCCAATAAAAATTATTTTAGACTTGCCCTCAATTGCAAAAAATGAGAAAAATTGTAAATATGGGAAAACTATAGTACATATTTTTTAATTTGAGGAAGGATTCCTGTATAACTTTTAAATATTGAGTGACTTTAGTAAGATAAACTCTTCAATTTAAAGAACTCAGAATTAAATTCAGTTTTGAGCCATGTGTCTATGTGTAAGTTGAGGTAATACTGCAGATTCAAACAGTGAACATCAGTAGTTACAGATACTCAGTATATTTGTTGAGAGACAGTGAGGTATGGTAAGGAACATTCTATATTTAAAAATATTTCCCCACAGCTAACTC